ACAGAGGGTTTTGTTGAGGACGTTAAATTTTACCGAAAATAGATTGGAAATATACTGGAAAAAAAAACGAGGACATGAAATTTTATAAATAAAAAAAAACGAGACGGGTCAATCATAAATAATTCTAGTTTATTTTTAGTTTATTAATAGTATATTTCTAGTTTAAAAAGATATCTTTCACGTTTCATTAACAGTATATCTTTCACGTTTTTATTAACAATATATTTCTAGTTTATTAACAGTATATTTCTAGTTTAATTGTTTTTCGTCTCCTCCTTCAGAATTTAACTTTCGAATTCAATGATTTATGTTTTGGAATCAAAATTGGTAGTTTGGTCTTCACCATTGAAGACGGTTTCTTTGCGTTGAGAGGTGTGAACGTGGGCGGTGGGAGGTTTTGCAGAGAGAGGGATTAATGATAGCAATGAGAGAGAGAGAGAGAGAGTAATGATAGAGAGATAGAAGTTTATGTTCCGCTTTTTTGGTAAGAAGATATCTTATATGAATTAATTATTCCAATTGCTTTTAATTTGTCCTGATAATTGCTTTGTAACGGTCACATATGGTCTATTCACTTTTTAGGTAGTGCAATATTTTATTCATGATCTAGTAAATTTATAAATAATACTATAATATGTGTATAAGTGTAATATATATCATAACTTATAATAAGGGGTGCAAATTCCTCTAAATAATTCACTTATATTGTTGATTCAAAGACTACAAACACTACTCCAACAACATATTATGTATTGTTGATCCTCCTTTCCCATCCCCTCTATATATAATTTTAGAATGTGCTGAGCCTACGTGGCAAACTCTCATGCTTCAGAATCTTATTTGGCAAAAAATCATGTTTTAGAGTTAGGCTTGGATATAAATTAATATTTGTATTAATTGTATTTTAATGTCATTTCCTATTATAACCATTGAATTGCAAATATATTTTAAAAGTTAGATAACTTTTGTATTTCTTGTCGCTTTTACATATATAATAAATAAATTAATCATCTTTTGATGAGCTTCGATTTGACATCCATATTATATATAAAATAAATAAATTATATTTGACTTTATAATAATAATAAAATTGTTTATTAAAACTAATTAGAAAATAAAATTATTTATCAATTAATATATTTATGTTTAATGTAGTTATATGTTATAAGGTAGAAAATTTATTATAATATAACACATATAAGTAGCACAATTAACATGTGTCATACTAAAATATATAATAATATATACTCTCTCCTATTTTTATTATTTGTCACTTTGACTTAATTGATCATTGATAAAATAAATGTCGTTTTAGATATTTTATTCATATTTTTCCATTTTTAACCCTCCATCTAATACACAGTGTCTCTTCATATCCCATCTCCATCGTTTCCCATAACATCCATTAAATAGGGTTAATATTGTCAAGAAAAAAAATCTTAATTAGTGTGTTGTATTTGAATTTATATTATGAAATCCGTTTGTATTTTACTATTTATATATACATATATAAAATACAAAAAAGTAATATATATCCTTATAAATAAAATTTATATTTATTTATCAAACTAAATTAAATTATATCAAATAAAACTATAAATTATATTATAGAGTAATAGAAATTGGTATGTATTCTTTTAAAAATGATATTTATTTCAAATCTAATTGGTATGTTGTCAATGTAATAAAAATAAATAATTATTTATCTAAATTCTAAAATGACATATAAAGTTAAAAAACTGTGAAGCACGACTGATACGACACTTGATGTATTAGGCATCTAATTAAGTAAAAAAATAATCTATTTTACTTAATATTAAATAAACATATTCTACACTTATGCATATACGTATCACCATATTATTTCTATTTATTTAAGATATATATTTTTGTACTTATGTAATAGTAAATAATATCGATATTTTTATATGATATAAGAAAAAAAATTGAACACAGGTTGACATTGTCATTTAATGTACGAGTGTTTAATTATTATGATTAAAAAAATATAATTCGACAATTTAATTAAAACCCAAAGTAATATTTTATATAAAATTAAATTATTTTAGTTCTTAAAAAAATAAAAAATTTAATATTTTTAACAAAAGTTTTTTAATTTAACACCCGTGTAATACACGGGTATTATACTAGTTAGGCACTAACCCATAAAACCCCACTATTCACCAAACTCCAATCATATAAATCAGCCGCAGACATGCCACACTTATGAACACCAGAAAAAATGAATTTAGACTAACAACAAAAATATGATTTAATTTATTATTTAATAGTAAATTATATTTTAAACCCTATTATATATTTGTTTCATTTACCTAATTATCTTTATTTATCTTTTCAACGTAGTTTAGCTATTTTGGATTTTAATAGTAATTGTTAGAATCATTTGGTTGCAATTATTGTTTTGTTGATTGTGTATGAAGTATTAATTATGTGGTTTTTTTCATCTTTTATCCTCTAGTGTGGATATTGTATATCATATTTCAATTTCAAGTCATGACGTATAAGCATTTTATTTTGCTAGTAACTATGCCATATGGAAAATTATTTTATTGGTATTGTTGAATTTTTAGAAATTCACATGGAAAACCAACCTTCAGCCAAGAATGAAAAATTCCTATTGATATTATTGTTCTTTAGAAAACAGGATCGTCAAACTAGTGAAAGCACATCAAATACCGAACACACTTCAGTGAATATTTGAAGAAAAAAAATATGTGATTTTTATAAAAATGAGTTTTTAAAATTCTAGTCCAGTCTATTTTTAGCTTCTGGATCCGTACCTGAGACCACGTGTCCCTAACATCGATCAAGTTACGAAAAAGTCCTCAAGAGCGGCCGAGTATATTATAATAAGATGGCCGAGAGTTGAATGCGTAGGGGAAGAAACCCGAGTGAATTTAAATAAAGAAGGTCGAATTGCATTAATAAAGTTGAATACGAACTCAAAAGATAAGGTACCATATAAAAATTACGAGAAATGCTATGGAACCAGTGGTTGGCTCCATTATGGAGCCAACCACCAATGTTATAGTGCCACGTAGGCCATGTGAGAAAATAATTAACTCCACATGACCAACGTGGCACTATAACATTGGTAGTTGGCTCCACAACATTTCTCTAAAAATTACAAAATCGGCGTATAACTTCTCGCCTGTCGGCACAAGTGTCATCGTTGAAGCTCCCATCAGCATGGAGATTCCCGTAGTATAATTATTTAGCATTTAATGTTATTGTACTTACTACAAATAGTAGAAATTAATAATTATACTACCAAGCAGTACAACACCGATGTATAGTTGCTAGTTGTATTACACTATAAATATTAGGGGTGAACATGGGTCGGTACGGTTCGGAGAACCGTACCAAAAATCGGTTCGATCCGGTTTGAAAATTTTTATTTTTCGGTTCGGCTCGGTTCGATTTTCGGGACTATCGGAACGGTTCGGTTCGGTTTGGTTCGGAGATTTCTTATCATTTTTAAAATTTTTTGAATGACAACCTGTTATTTTATTTTCATATGTTTTTTTTTTTAAAATCCAACATTCATCAATACTTCATCATACTAAAGATTTTATTTTTAAATCAACTTTAGAAGTAACCCTAAATTTTAGTTAAGATTAAATTCAACTAACATTGAAAATTTAAAATTCAAACAAAATATAATACATTTTTATATTAAAGTAATATTTATTTAACCTTCCATACCATATTAGTTATAAGATAAACTAAGCCAAAGTATCAACAACTTTATGTAAAGCTTAAACATTTTTATTTTTTAAATCTTTAACCTTTCATTCTATTTTAATTTTCTTTAAACATGAAAAATTCAATTGTAGATCAAGTATTGCTAATCATAAAATGTAAGTGAATCTTAATTGTTATTACTATATTTTATTTGCATTTTAAAAATTCTCAAATTATATAGGATCAAAGTTGACATAAAGTATATTAATAACACGCATTTATTTTTATAAGTCGGTTCTTCGGTTCGGTACAGTACGGGACAGTACGGTTCGGTTCTCAGTATGGATATTTATGAAATATCCAGA